AAGACATAAGCCCTGCTCCTCATTGATCTGCTTTAACTTCTTGATAACTGCTGTATTCCGCTTGATACTAGAATCCAGAGTCCTAAGATATGTTGAATCTGTAACAAGGAGAACTCAGTCTCATTAACAACTCAAACTACAGATTCAAAACTATAATAGAATTATCCTAAAATCATGTGCTCTCAAGTCCTGATTGGCTATTACAAGCTTAGAAATTGAAGTAGTCGATGATTACTAACAGAAGCATTGTGGAAACCCTAAATAGTAAATTCCATGAAAACCCCAGAAAACAAAAAACTAACCAGGTCGTTCAGGATTGAGATTATTTTGACGAAGAGTCATTTTAGCTTCCACTGACTTCTTAATCTCTTCAAGACGAGCAAGAGCTTCCTGCAGACGAATTAAAGTATGAGATGATAGTTTCAATTTCATCGAGTAAGACAAATCCGTAATCTCGAAATCAAACCTCGTCGTCTTGTTTCTCGCTGTGGGTTTCATCTTCTGGATGATCCATTAGGGTTCAGGTAGATAATTCGTACGAAATTTGAGTCAAGTGATCGCTTTTTCGATCAGACTTAGGTTTAGTTTGTTGTTTACCGGAGAAAGAGATGATAGAAACCGGCAAAGGAGAGAATGAAGGATTTTAATCTCATCGGCCCCCTGTGGTGGAATCAATTTCTACTTAGCCCCCGTTCTAAAATAAAATTATGTAAGTATTTATTTTAATTCAAAATATTAGTAAAAGACAATTATATTGAGGGTTTTCAACTTATTTACAGATCCAACCTATGTTTGGGTCAAATATCCAACAGAATTGGGCTTAATTTCGGATCTTTATCTTATTTCTCAAACAAACCCTAATCCTAAAAAACGACAGTTTTCCCACTCCCGACAGTCCGTCGTTTTCTTTTTTCTCTCTACCGGTGACTGAGATTTCTCGATTTCATAGTACACTCCTTCATCTTCTTCTTCCAAAATTTTGTTTTCTTCTTCTGGATCCTCTTGTTTTAGTCGATACCATCTTCTTCCTATTTCCTCTTCACTCGTTTCTCCGTGAATCTGAGATAGCCACCGTGAATCCGAGAAATCCACCGTGAATCCGAGGAATCCGCGGTGAGAAATCTTCTGTGTCTTCTCTTTGTAAAAATTCTTTTGTTTGATCCATATATTTTGATTGATCCGAGATATGGTTTGATTTTTTTCTTTGAGCGATTGATTGTGTTGTGTTGGGTATAATAATGGTTTGATTTTGTTTGAAACAGATGGATTATAAATGAGTTTTCGATTGAATTAGTTTTTTTTTTTCTTTTTCTTTGAGGGTTTAATAAGGATCCTTCGATTGATTGTGTTGTGTTGGGTTTAATTGGATTCTGGTTTAGTTAAAGTTTGAAACAGATGGATTAAGGTTTCTTTTGTTTGAGTGTGTTGGGTTTTGATGATTTATGGATGGATTGTGTTGGGTTTTGAGGATTTTGATTTGTGGATTAATTTTCAGATTTCAATTTGTCTTGTTTTCCGATTTGAATTTGTCAAAATGTTCGGGTTTGAATTTTTCATTTAGATACAAATAGTGTGTTTCGGATTTTCTGAAATTTGTTGAAAAATCCAAACTTTATCTCTTGAGATTATGTGAGTTTGTGTTTGTGTAAGTAGATAGATATTGAAATTGTATTTGTTGTTGCAGGTAGTAATTACAATGGCTTATACTGAAGAAAAGGCGAAGAAGGAAAGGAAGAAGGAGAAGGAGAAGGAGCAAGAGAAGAGTTTGGCTCTTATTTTGGTCTCTGATGATGAATATCGCTTGTTTTCTTGTGTGTGATGTTGATGTATAAATCTGTGTTTAGGTACAACTGGTACGATTAGGTACAACTATGTTTCTGGGTTTATATATTTTGATTAGGTATGAAACTGTGTTTAGGTACAACTGGTACGATTAGGTACAACTATGTTTCTGGGTTTATGTATTTTGATTAGGTATGAATCTTTGTATCTGAATCTAATTATCTAAAATTTGCCCAAAAAAAAAATCTAATTATCTAATTATGTATGAATCTTTTAATCTGAATCTTAATATTTTTATGTATGAATCTATGTATTGAATATAATCTAAGGGTTTTGAACCAAAAAAAAAAAATCTAAATTAATCAAAAAATCTGACAAATATGTGGGTTTGTAAGGGTTTTGGAAAAAAAAAATAGTGAATCTACCTGGTGCCGTTATTTTGAAAAAATCTGACAAATGACATATCTAGCGCCGTTATTTTGAAAACAATTATTAAATAATAGCTCAAATTTGTTCATAGTTGTACAGTTGTACTCGGTTGCACATTTTTGCTCATAGTTGTACAATACATAGATTTTAGTAAATCTAGTTGTTATCAACTCTAATTTAATTTTTGTTGGTGGAACCGATGGTATTGCCTCATAAAAATACCATTACTTTGTATCTGTGCATTTATATTTATCAAAATACAATTATTTCAAAAATTTATAAAATTTTAGTTCAAATCCACAAAGTAACCATGAAAGTATAAGGTTGTTAGTGTATGAATGTGAGATTTTGAGTAAGAATTTCAGTATTTTTCAAAAATATGAATTTTTTTGTCAAAAACTTGTTGTGTAGTTTCATTACCATCGTGTATGCATTTTTTAAGTTTTTTTTAATTTGGTTTTAAATTTTCATATTATATAAAATTCTGAAAATTGGCTAAGGCATTAGACCTTAGATGTACTTGTGGTACTTAGTTGTACCCAGACTGACAACTTGCACATATACGAGAAGAAAATCAACCATAGTTGTACCTGTTAAAACTTAGTTGTACAACACAGAACATATAAGTTTCACAAACAAAACCAATACAAACAACATCGTTTCTTAAATTAACCTAATAAATAGCATTGAGAAATCAACCTTGGTCACCCGCATCGTCTCCATCGTCTTCATCAACGCCCAAACCGCTCGATCCATGCGACCTCTTCTTACGTCCTCTTCCTCTATGTTCTCCAACGGAGGGGAATCTTCCGCCAAAATCCAAAGCTCGATCCAATAATACTTTGAGCACAAATCATGTGCCCGGAGATCGGGAGCTGCATTCTTGTTTGCCGTAAGTGTAGCCGCTATTGCATGCACACATGGATACTTGTCTATATCAAAACGTCTACAATTGCATGTTTTGCTTCTCAAATCAACCAAATAAGCCCTTCTTCCCTCACATCCTCATAATAACACACAACATCTTCATCATCACGAATATAATTTGGTCTTAGCTTACGTCCTTTAAATGTGAAGGGAAAGTAACTAACTCTCAACTTTGTCGTAGCCTCATCTACCTTTTTCTTTCTGCAAATCTTCTCAACCATCTTAACATATGATACTTCCCCTTTCGATTTATTCATAAGAATAGAATACACTTCTTCATCTTCTCCATTAGAAATCCAATGTACATCTTCTCCGATACTTGTATAGTATCCGTCATAAGTAAAGCGTATGACTGAATTCCTTTTCATTGTCCCTGAAAAAGAAAGAGAGAAAAAACGGCCTATAATTTCACAACTTTTGTAGCAGACCATCAACATAGTTGTACCCATTTGTCCCAGTTGCACCAAACTTAGGGTTTCCGTAAATATTCTACTTAGTTGTACCCAGTGGTTTCAGTTGTCCCAAATCTGAAATCCTAAATTATTTTAACAAATAACCCTATTCAAGCTACGAATTCAACTTAATCATACTACACTAAGAGAACAAGTATACTTACCTTACAGTATGGTGGGAATAGAAGAAGAAGAAGAGAAGAGATATGTCTTTGGAGATGCAAGCTTTCATGGTGAGCTTCAATGGTAGATGGAGAAGTAGTAGTAGAAGTACGTCGGAGCTGCTACGTCGGAGCTACTGAAGACCGCCGGAGGTGCTACGTCGGAGCTGTTG